GAGTGATGGCCAGGTGAAACCAAAAACACTGTGCTTAGCTCCTTTTATAAATATTTTTCACGCCAGAACATAAAAAAAGCACAAATCTTCACATCAAAGAACAGTAAATTATTATACTCTAAAAAATTATTATACCTTGAGATTCGATAGAATTTAATCATAAGATCGATGCTGGATCAAAATTTCGACACGAATCACGACTCGGCTCACGACTTTAAAACGTGCGGAAGGTGCATAAAAATACAATTGCATGCATAATTACGCTCCGTCTTGCTGCAACTTTGCACGGCCGGAGATGAGAAACTTGTGCTCGTAAGCTTCCGGGAGTGTTTAACTCTCTCGCCCGCCATTCCCTCCTCCTCGCTTTTGTTCCCCCTCGCCGAGAATTTACGTGTCCCTTTCTGCTAGTTGAAGTATCCCTCGCAGCTGTTTCCCAGCCGCGATATATCTCGTTTGTCCGCTATAAATTGGATCTGTTTGTTAAGCCTGTTTCAGGCCATGCGGGGTTGTTGTGACGCCAAATACGTTCGAGAATCGTGGTTTTCGGTCGGAGGGAAATTCGGCAAAAGATATAGAACGTGCGGTCACATATCGCCACGTTCTTCGCGGCGGAAGAAGCTCACGCGCGCATTTACATACAGAGAAGGAATATTTCAAAGAAGAGAAATTTAAAAAAATATCAGAGCCTGACCCGAATATACGTGAGATGCGGTAAAGCCTCTCTCTCTCTCTCTCTTTTTCCTCGAGGAATACCTTAAAAAAATAAAAATGTTTTGACGATTCATAAAATTCGAGATTTTCTTGTTCCCAGATACTCTTAATGTACTCGTAAACGCTTTCGACACGTTGGCTCTCTCCGTTTTTCTTGTTGCTGTTGTTGCCACTGGAATGGCAAAATTACGTCATGTTCAGCATTGGTCGGTCGTTCAAGTTTTCCACTTTCGGCGGGCGCCATCATCTCGGCCGCCGTGCTCGGCCTGTACAGATATCGGGGAAGTTTGCAGATTTCCGAGCAACTTACTTCCGCTACGTTGCAACTTGTTCCTCGCGAGCCATTTTTTCTTCTCGTCTCTTTCTCTCTCTCTCCTCTCTCTCTCTCCCCCTCTCCCTTTCCTTTGGGGCTCGAGAGGCCGGGATTAAGAAATCCTCCAGGGGGAATCGCGGAAGTTCGCAACGAATATAAATTACCACGATCGGCCACAACCGTAAAGAAGCGCAACGCGCAGGGATCGAAACGTTCAGGAACGGGGCTTCGCGAGAATGTATCGTCGGATAAGCATAATTAGCCGATCGGAAAAGAAGCTCTTTATTCAACCCAACGCACTCGCTCGTTATTTATTAGTCCGAGCTTTTATTACCGCTTGCACTTACGGGATTAGACTACGAGCGATGTTTCGACAAAACGCTGCTCTCCTTTCTCATCAATTCCTCTCTCTTTCTCTCTCTCTCTTCCTCCCTCAGTGTTAGAAATGTTGAGCGGCAATGTGATTAAGCCGTACTCATTTATTATTACGCCATAGCGTAAGGGAGATTAGATCTCCCAGCGTGCAAAATTTTTGCAGCTCGTCATCATTTCTCTCTCTCTCTCTCTTCTCTTTACGGCACCGTGAACATCCTCTCGATGAGTAACAATGGGGATGCGGGCTGCAAAAAATGCGCAACGAGATCCACTCGGACGGTAACGAGGTACCCACGGCACGGTACGGCACGGATACGGCGAGGGGACGATAATTGAGAGATCCAAATGATACTTTGATGACCGTCCATCCCTCTCACTGGGTATCCGCGAAAACGTGCTTTTTCATCGCTCTTCTTCGGCGTGCACCCCCACGGAAACATATTTGTCTTTTCCCGCTCGTCGCCTGGGATTGCTCTGACGATGGTAATAAAGTGGCACGAGAGAAGAATAAAATAGACGGGAGTTTATTGCGCGTTCTGTCCAACAGCCCCCCCGCTGGAAAAATGTGTAAAAACAGAAAGATACAAATATAGGGGATAACAAGAGGGGGAAAAATAGAGAGAGAAAAGATAAAGAGACGGACAGATAGAAAGAGAGAGAAATATTGCGGCGAGAGCAGAGACACGCCCGTCTATTATTGTAAAAATTATGTAACTACCGCCGAGGAAATATAATTCCACCCTCGTAGTCACAGTCGATGAAACATATTCCTGTCCTACGCGCGAAAGCGAGCCCGGTAAGGAAAACGGAAGGGACGCTTTTCGGGAAACAGGCGGCTCGCGTTTCCACGTAATCCGATGAGAAAGAACGAAATCCTGCGAGAGGGGATGGGAGAACATTAACTTTCATACCCGAAGGCGATGGCGGGACAAAACGGAATATCCGCTTGCTGGTTCCGCGGGCTTGAGATAAAGCTTCGCTCCCCCCCCCCCCCCCCNNCCCCCCCCCCCCCTCTCTTCCCGTAGTGGAGCGCGTAAAGCGATGGCAACAAGAATTCTGGCGGGAGTTTCGTTAAATCGCGCCACGAGCAGCAGAGGATACAACATAACAACAAGGCGAACAATAGAAGAGAAAAGAGAACTTCCCGTGGCGGTGGCGAGAGGAGAGAATACGTACACCGCTGTAGAATGTCTCAAGAAAACATTACGTAACCCTTTGAGCCGCGGCACGTGAAATTGCAAGTCGATGCGCGCTTCTCCGTCGCCGGGTATTTTTCCTATCACTTTCGATTTACCGTATTTCCGGCTTTTATATCTGGTTTTTGTTTCAGCGAGTCGTAATGCTCTCGGACGATACATATCGTTCAATCACACGCGATACTTCGAGATCTTGAGCCTCATATATTATTAACATTACATATTAATTTCACGTACGGTAATATCGCTATTTAATTCACCGAATCTTGCCAAACCATTGATTAAGCACCGTTTCGAACTACCAGTTATATCGTACACTTATTTTTCATCTCACCCATTGTGATCTTTTTCCCATGACGTCACGTCACCTTCGGCTTTTATATTCGTTTCGTCTCGCTGTGGTAAATGCGAGCGAACTTATCAGTGATTTCACGTCCGATCGCCGGTCGCGATTTAGGCGACCGCCACGCGAGCAGCTGATCGGTCGAGTGGGATAGGTCGCGTTACTAGTAGCCGCGATCGACTCCACACGTACGTATCGGCGCTCATTCATGATCGCAACGCGCGATTTTAGATTGACGGATATCTATCGATCGCGCCTCTGTTCCCGCACGAGATTATTAGGGCACGGAGTGATACTGACGTAAGGAGGAAGGTAAATATAGTCTTATTTGAATGGAGAGAAAATACTGTTAACCCTCTAATGGTAAGGTGGTGCCCCACGGCTTTGTTTATTTTACAGCATGAGCTGTTTCTCTTCTTAATCCTTTAAAACTATACAATAAGGTACATTAACTTTGAGTCTTCCCCAAGTTTCGTCTGTTGATAAAGTAATCATTCTGTCGATATAATATCATCGATCCATTCTAAACGAAGATATTCTCTGTCCCAACTTGTAAAACAAGTCTGTCTTTCCAGCTGAAGGCTGGAATATATCTTATAAATGACAACATTACATACACTTTACTCCAATGGGATCGATATGTGGGCCTTAACACGTTCATTACCAAGCTGAAAATTGGAATTTCGTATTTTTTTATTTTTTTATTTAGTTTTTATTGTGCTCAAAATAAGTTAATATATTATTTATATGCTTTTATTATTATGTACATAGGATTTATGTACTCTAAATATCTATTACGCGATAACGTGTGATCGGCCATTTGGCGAGAACTCACATCACGCGATATCGTGTAATTGGCAATGAACGTGTTGAAGATTTAAGAAATGTTTCATCTATCTTGCACATTGATTACACGAAAAGTGAACAAAATAAAGCGTAGGGTTGGATTCTACCTCACGGATACGTTAAGAACCCACCTTGCCAATAGAGAGTTAATATAAATATCCTCGAATTGTGTGAGCTCGATACAATTAATTTTAACTTTAGACGGACTGCAACGTCCGCCGTGTAATTAATATAATCATACAATATAATCATACAATTGAAAATATATATCAGAAAGATTTATAATTAATTTTCGAGAAAATAAAACACAATAATTAAATATAATGATCGCGCAATTAGCGAATTCGCACACAGCGAAGCTTTCGAAACAATTCCGAGCAGAACGCAGTCGTTGAAAAGTCGTTAAAATTGCCCGAAGGATCACCTCGACGGACCGCCGAAAGGGATTTGCGGAAGTAAAGTACGACGCAGCGAATAGTTTAACGGAGCTTCGTGACTGCAGTTCGCAGAAGCGATCGACCGATTCGGTCGAGAAGTCACCTAAACTCAGAACGTCGAAGGGCAGCGTCGATTGCGTCAATTCGATGTTCGAGTTGTTCCCGAGTCGACGGAAACCGGCATAATTGTCTCTTACGGGCACGGTTGCATTCTTGTTATTTCACTTTATCGACTATCCGGCATCGCATAAGTCCATCGACATACCTTCGGTCGCGTTTCTGACAACCTCCGGTTAACTCGATCGGCTGATTATTGGAATTGACCAATCGCACTTGCCGTTAAGCAGAATTTGTCGTTGACCAGAAATGAAACCAACCACGATTCGCACACTTAACCGGTCGGTTAAGTTACACCCAGAAGTTATGGCCCTTAATCGTCGCGTGTCAATCGCGATTAAATGATCGCTCTCTTTTCGCGATTTTTGCGTCTTTTCTCTCGATATTATTTTCCTCCGTACATGCCGTCCGCGACTGTCGTAAATGTTTCACGCGATACACGTATCGCGCTTCACTCGCGCGGTTTTATTACTCGAGAAAGTTACGTGCCCGATTTTTATTCCCGCACGGGACTATCGCTCTTCACTACTGCGAAAATGCGATGCCCACGGGGAGCGTCGCTTTTATTTCGCGTCTGAAAGAAAGTGGAATTTCCGAGAGAAAAATTTGGATCCGTTTATGGAGAGATACGGGGAATGAAAAGGATACGCGAACAGAGACTAAAAATCAAAGATTTCATGAAGCGCGCGCAGCTCACTCGTAATATCGCGCCAATTCCCACCACTGAGGCGCGCCAGCGTCTGGTATGGCCGGCGTCCAATAGCGTCGGGGAGAAACGAGGATGCCCTCCGGCGGCGAGGTGGTCGCTATCGTTCGACGGCTGTTCAGTGCGCGTTCACTCGCGTCATACAACGGCGTCGTGATGGATCGCAAGCCTCATGAGATGGCGACGAAAAGCTGCATCCTGTGCAATCGAAAACGCAACTCCGAAGGCACACCGAGGATATCGTTCCACGCGTAAGATCCGCGTGAGCGTGTTGGCGGCGCGCGCTCTGTGACGGAGCGGTTTCTAATCTAGGGAGATAAGCACGCGATCGATAGCGCTGTGAGATCTTTCCTTCTTATTTTTTTTATCATCGCAACTCTGTGCAATTTTGTACGAGTTTAAAAAATGACGTTGGTGAGTATCAGCCGACTAGGTGAATGGGTTGTGTCGAAAATGGCACGTTTTAGGACTGCTTATAGTGTAATTATATGTTGTTCATGTGCAATCGAAGTAAATGCTACTTCTGACAGCACATGATATCGACATGTAATTAAAAAATGACTATAATTTTTTTCGTACGGATATATATGATCATATAGGTGTGATCACATGTATCGGCAAAATTCATATATGATTTTATATAATCATATATAATCATTTTTCCCGGATTACTATATATTTTGCTATAATAATTATTAAACATATCTTATTTATGCAGTATAAAGTACTGTTCAAAATTTTCAAATGTGGACCACATGACTTGCTACTATCGATTTCCTCTTTCTGTCAATAGAGTTTTGAACCATACTAGTATATCAATAATAAATGTAACCATTCAGGGCCGTGATTGTCGACTATTCAGACTATTCTTCATTAATAACTGACGGTTATCGCGTTCTTTTTCTTTTTTTAATCAGCAGTTATTCCATATCGTCATTTTTCAACCCATGTGTTTCATCAGATTTCCCGAGGACGAGGAATACAGGAAGAAGTGGCTGGACGCGATCGGAAAGGCTGAAATACCCGTTCATTCGTATCTATGTTCACGACATTTTCCGCCGAGTTACTTCGTGTCCTCGACCTTAAAGGATGACGCGATCCCAGCCTTGGAATTGGGGCCGACATCGGACGCCGAGCAGAACCGATCACAGCAACCGAGAACGAAATTATCCCTGTCGAGCGCGCAGGTCGCAAGACCGATCATTCGAAGGTGAGAATTAACACTCGAGAACCAGCGAGAATCCGACGACGCGATTGAATGAATTGTTCGCGTAATTGAGCGATTTCTCATCTCACCCGACGACGTTTTACATTCACAACGCACGCGTTTTTTCGAAAAGACCGCGAACCCGCATGCTGCCGGACGAGGAGATACAGAAGATGCAGCCGGTGAAGTACGTACGCTACCTGAAGAGCGTCAACTGGGACGAGATCGCGAAAGTGCCGAGCGAAGCGAAAATCGCCTGGGAAGTGGCGATGGAAGAGCTGAAGGAGGGCTACGATAAGATAAAACATCTGCAGGCGCACGTCAGCCACCTCAAGACGACCGCTCGCAAACTCGAGACCGTGTTGAAAGCGCGTACGAAGAGGACGGTCGCATCGTCGCAAATCTCTTGATTGAAGAGGATCGCGGAGTACTCCTCGACGCGAAACAATTACAACAATCACTATGATCTGTAAGAAAAAAATCTCACCTCGATGTAAAAAGTTATGTTAAGATAAAAAACCGAAAATAAAGAAAATACGGCTGCTTGCTTAATTACGAATTACTATCGGGAATTTGCGCGATTCACCGAAGAGTCGTCGAGCGATAAAGCGCATTAAACGTTTCATATCTCCGTTATACGTCGAATTCCCGGGCTTATTTTCGAAACGACCGCGCAGCCACGACAACGAGACAAAACATTCAACGACGTTGCGGGCAACGACGAAGCACCGCAATTACGCCGCGAATAAGATCTGCGCTCTCTCTCTCTCTCTCTCTCTCGTGTGCCTTTATCTCTCTATTATGGAGAACGAGGGCGCCCGACAACGCGACCAGACACGCTCTCACGTTGCCAGAGCAAATGCATTCGTCGATGGCATTCCGCGGATCCTTTCAGCGAAGACAAATGCGACGAGCCGCTCTTCTCACCGCGTGACAGCGCCACGCGTAGTATGTTTACCTAACCGACAACAGCAATACGGGGGGTAACTAGGAATGAGAGGGCGACCGGATAAAAGCGTTGGCGACGAGGTCCTTTTGTCCGTCGTGCGCTCTTTCGAGCGTGCTATTCGATGTTATTAAAATAACGAAAGGAAAAATCGACCGATGGAAGCCCTCGAGAAACCCGCCCTTGTTACATACGCGTAAAGGGATATCTCGTGCATGTGAAAAGCCGCGTTGACAGATCATTAAGTAAATGTGCTTCCGCGCACGCAATTTTTCCACGAGTACGTTAAATAAAACTCATATTTCGCCTCTCTCTCTCATTGGAATTTCCGGGGCTCAGCATGAAACGAGCGCGGAAAGATCAAGGCGGAAAGGATAACGCTGATAGACAGATGGAAAACGAGAATAACAGTGGCGAAGAGCGGTCGGGTAGGAGGGAGTGCGCAATGCATTCGCGATACCCCGGAGAACCAGCAAAGCTCTGCTGCAGTATACTAAATCACCACCCCCGCCCGTGTATCCCTCTGGGATAGCGCGGACGGTCGGGAAGGAGAGCGAGCCCGGTCATTTTTTATATTTTATTCACGTTTCATTTCACCCGGCCGTACGTACCGAGACGGCAGCCCGTAACGAGAACGCTCGTTCGCATTCTCACGTGTCATTGTCGGTGCCACGGTGACGCGATCACCTTTGAATCAGAGAAATATCGATCGGCGGTCTTCGACCGGTACGCGGAGTATCGCGAAGCCAGGTGCGGAAATTTCAGCGAGAAGCAATCTATTAATCTAGTCTGATCGACAGATGATCCGTTGACAGATCCACAGTGTCCGCCGTTGTTCTATCGACGGGGTCTGCTGATAGAATCTGACAGCAAATTGGCGGCAGAAAGCGAGCAGAAGGTCCTATGGGCTGTTTGAAGCTTCGAAGATTCAAAGACCGTAATCTTCCAAGTTTCGAAGCTAAGCTTCAAAAAGTACAATCTTACGAATGCTGCAGACTAATTTCTACATACACTTGGTAAAATATAATTTTGTAAATGATGTGACGTTATACAGTTTAAAAATCTTACATAATTCCGATGTTTCGAAACTTCGAATAATTCAAATGAATTCAAATAATGAAAACTTCAAATCTTCGATGATTCGAAGGCCTTTGAAAGAAATCACTAGTTCTGAATCTTCCATTTAAATTATATTGGAACGAGAGAGAGAGATGGATCCTGCTCGATTTCCGTCGTCAGTCTGTCATCATACTTCGTCATCATTTTTGCCAGCAAGCTGCTTATAGAATATGCAGCAGACAAAATCTGCTTTTGCAGATTTGGATAATCCTGTTTTGCACACACGGCGGATTTGCCATTGAAGATAACTCGCGATGAACAAGGGGAAGATATTAAGGGCGATATGAGTAATTCCGCGGAAATAAGATCCGCGTGAGAGGACGTGCGAAATACACCGACATCTATTTCCACTCTGTAGCGTGTGTAATATACGTATGTGTATTCTTTCAGACAGCGTCGCGTCATAAAGCCCGGCACGTAGCGGAGACGCGCCGGAAAGTTGCGGGTGGAAATGCAACCGGGTCAAAAGTTCCTCTATTTTCAAACATTGCGTCAGGTCGGGAACTCGCACGCCGTCGTTCTCCTTCGCGACAGTTTTATTCGAACGGTATGATGTATTATTTTTACCGCCAGTCTTATTGCCTGGCGACGTAGAGCTCGCGAGAGATCGGGTTATATATATATATATATATATATACGCTACGATCGAGGAGATAAAGACGGCATCGAAGGAAGAGCTGAACAAGATCACAAAAAATGATTTTTTGAAATGCTTCGAGGATTGGAAAAAACGTTGGCACAAGTGTATAATATCTGATGGGGATTACTTTGAAGGAGACAAAATAGATATTCATGAATAAATAAATAATTTTTGAAAAAACACAAAATTCGTGATACTTTTTGAACAGACCTCGTATACGCAATTCGTGCCATCCGTCACATGCTTGTAGTTTAGGTCAATGGTGAAGAAAAAAATATCTTTTTCAAACAACATGCAAAATTTCGAGTTATTAATGATTGAAAATGTATAGAAGCTTCTTGAATTCGACAATCCGCGTATTATTTATAAAATGATAATGATGGCTGTTGTACCTGACGACAATTTCAATATATTAATGTCTGTCGCCAGATACAACAACTGTCATATACATTAAGCCACTCTGAATAAATGAATCTTTGATGATTTTGCGTAAGTCGCATGATCAGCTATTTTCTATCGTCGTGCGACAATTCGTCCACCGTATCGTGCGAGTTGCTTCGTCTATTTTTGTCAATAGCTCAAAATTTTACTTAGCATTTTACAAAAAATTATATCGGTCCCATTTCTCAGTTTGAGTCGTGTTGTATGGTTTGCGTCGGACACCCTTTATATACGGCGAAGAAGGGGGGACGAATTTTACGTTACGAAACTCTTGCTATATCCGTCCAACTCTCATATTGGCTCTTATATATCATATTGGCTCGATTATATATTAAATATTTCTCCCGTGACTCCGGATTTTGCCGCGAGACAGAGAAAGAGAAACCTCCGAAAAAGAACTTACTTCGCGTAACTGGCGGCGGCCTTCTTCCTCTCGCGCTTTGTTCACGCGCATCTCCTCGAGGACCGCGAATTTCCGCGGTTCCAAGTGCACCCGAAACTCAACTGTGAAATACTTGGCGAGAACAACGGCGGCGCACGGCTGACTATCGAACGAGTTTGCTACTAAACCTCGGCAGCTTTACTCTGTAGCTAGACTGTAAAGCGCCCTATCTACTTGCGAGACTGCGGGGTATATCCTCGCCGAAAATTCCCGATGGCGAGGCGAAGAGGGAGGAAGAATTCCATCTATAGAACGAATATATGGGGTGTTACATACTGTTAAATTACGTATTGGGAGGAGCTTAATGTCCATTTCTCCAATACTCAGTCACAAAATTATGTCCTGCACGGAGAAAAGAAATTTTGCTAGAACAGCAAATATAGCAAAATGACCGTTAATCGCGTTAATTAATGGATCGAAATTCCGTTTTCAATCTTCAATACATGATTCTCGACACCTTGTATAACGGAGATAAATTTGAGCGGGTAAGTTCGGTCGGGCGAATATAATTAAGCTATTTCTCCGCGATCAACGCAACTTTCGACACGCTCAAGTTGCAATTCCACTGGGAGTAAAATGACGCGGCGAGAGATTCAGCGATACCGCCGCAATAACTCCGTATCGATATATGTACACGGGGGCTGGCTGTCGAGAATATTGCCAGCTACACGTATATTCGTTCCAACGTTCAGCCGCTGCATTTAATCCCGCTTAATCGCGCAGATATGCATGCGCGATATACACTGTTCGCATTAATACTCCGAGGCCCGTTAAAATAAACGGTGCGTATGAAAACTACGCGCAGAAAAATAATAACGCGATGCGAATATATTAAAAATCTCGCGTTCTCGATTTCTCTCTTTCTTCTCTCAGAGGGGAACGAAATCCGCACGTTATCACTGCTCATCGAGCGGCAGTGCCATAAAAGGCGCGCAACTTTTCCAATATACCGCCGAATTGCCGGTCGTCACAGCCTTAAACACGATCGCGCGGCTGAAAATTCGACCGGCTATAAATACACCGATGCTTTATCGCCGCGGAGAGTTTGCGATCGTGATAGCCTGCTCGCTCGATATGTACGTCGAGGATGCTGCGAATCGATGAATGATTAATTGACGTACGTTAACGAACGAGAAGGGTTTTCTCGCTTTGCTTACGTGGCCGGTTATAATTAGAGCGCGATATAATTCGCATTACATTGAAATCCAGCGTAGGCGTTGGTTGTAAATTATTATGCGCTTACCGTACATCTGCTGAATCCCGTGCCGGTCGTCCTCCGGCAGCTCATAGTTGGGGCTCAGTCCTTGGTACCAGGGATACATGAGAGCTCCCTGGACCGAGCTATGCGCCAGTCCCAGGGAATGGCCGAATTCATGAGCGGCCACCGCGAACAAGCTGGTGCCTGGAAGCGCACAAACATATTCAGGACTTCTTATTTGCACGCATGTGTGTGTCTATTCGCCGGTATATCTGTGTGAATGCCTCACGAAAGAAGAGATGGATGAAAAGACGATTTTTTAGCGAGAAGAGAAGCGAATCGCCGCGAGTTTCCGTCCGATACCGGCGAGATTGCCTCGGAAGATATCGCGGGGTCGCGATTGGAGAGAACGGAGCTTTCCACGTGTTTTCCGGGCAATTGCATCGGGAATTGCAGCCGCCGCAAAATCTCGGCCTTCGTTTCACTCCGAGGAAGTACGTTTTCCCAAACACGAGTCGGTATCGCAAAGTGAGTCGGAAAAATTGATAGTATCGCGAATCGTTGCCTGCATCGCCAGGAGAATACCCTTCGAAACTGAAATTCCGTGAGAGACCTCCGGATGGAATCGCAGCCCATAAAAATTTTCGGATCTCACCCAATTTCGAAAGAAAAGAGAAATTCTCGTAAGGACGAAATATCGCTCACCTATCTTTCCGAGTTTAATCGAAAATCAGATTTGCACACGCGATACATCGCAATGTTCGCTATTATGCTCTACTTGGGCGGATTGTACGCGCAATAAAACGGACGCGTCAAAATTATACTCTCCTATCGCAACGTAACGTGCCATGGGTCTTACTCGGCGCCGAAATATTACGAGCGAACTTTCGCCACCATTTCGGCTTCTACGCGTATCCATCTTTCGTGAGTTTAAGGAGCGGACATACGGGTGAAATGCTGCGCGAAATTTCAACAAGTTCTCGCGAGCATATACCGCGCCGCTCGAAAAGGAAGAGAGCATGCTTGCCGAACTGATATTATTAGCGGTCTCCGTAGGAATCTCCCGCAGGACAACGGTTTACACTGGTGTTTCGCAAACTACTATATTCCCGTTTTTCACGAAGACGTTCCCGCGCGTCGACGGCGATTAGCAATTCATAACTCGACGGTAACTGGATGCCGCGTCGCAAATCGGTTACATGTGTCCTGGCCGGAATGTGTCGTCTCTCTCTCTCTCTCTCTCTCTCTCTCTCTCTCTCTTCTCATCTCGCTTTCACACGGTTAATTTCGCATTGCAACGGCCCCTGCTTAACAAGAATTATTAAGCGCTAAACTGTTTATTCGAGCTGACGCGTCACTGCGAGTCGAGGATTCACGATCAACGCGGAATTCAAGCCCGGATAACACTGTAAAAACATGGAAGGAAGAAACAACAGTGTGAAACCAATTGATGAACCGAAACTCAGCCCGCGGTTCGTTGAACAGTGACGTCGTGGCGCCTCGACACGGCGCCCGAAATTAGCAATTTGAATACGCATGCAGCGACTGATAATGGCTGAGAGAGTCCTGTGGCGATGTCGCCGTAACATACGACGGTTATAACTATGCTAATGGGAACTACAAATACGCTCGTCTATGCAAAGAGGGAGGAAGAGAGAAAGTGTGTTATTAACGTAGCCAATTCGAACGAAGGATATCGTTCATTCGCCCGGAATGAGTATCGAAACCGATATCGGGACGATTCGATTAATTGATAATTAATAACCGACGTGACGGTGATTCGATTAGGACGACAGAATTAGCCGACGGCTTTGTCAAGCGTGCATAACCGCAAGATATGCGCCGCCGGGCGATAAGCGATACTGTTATTAAGAGTTTCGATTAAAGTTTCGCCGAGAAAATCCCCGACTTGCGAGGACACGTAGCAATGATCGAACTTAACTCTCGCCTGTAACGCGAGAGCTAAGACGAAAGTTTCGTGAATGCCCGATCAAGAGATAATCCTCGGTCGGAAGAAAGAATTTCGGTCTCACTCGAAATTAAAACTTTTATTAAAACTCGGAATGTTTTTGCGCCGGAGCGGACTTATGAAAAATCCGTGTCTGTGAATGTTCGGTCGCGTCGAGGACGCGCTGAAGTAGCGATTTCACTAACGCGAGTAACTCGTTCGAGCGAATTAGCTCGAAGGAGTCATGATGATCATCGCCTCGAAACTTCCGGCGGAAGATAATGCCGCGTCGTACAACGGGCGATGAAACAGCGCTTTCGCCGCAGCTGAAATTATTTCGCCCGAGAGATCCCTCCCCCGCGAGATAAATCGTCAACTATATATAAATCGCCGTTAATTATTCTCCCGCTAATTACTCTCGAGTGATGAATCCGCCGGGATAAAAGCCATTCGCGAAAACAGGGATTAATTAAACGCGCGCGAGATAAAGGTACCCTTTTGCTCCCTTATATCGAGGCGGATAATAAATTCGGGAATACGTGTAAATATGCGTCAATGGAATCGCGGCCAGAGAGAGATAAATTCATCTCTCGAGATCTTGTGGCGTCAAATTTACGGGAGTTTAGGGTTTGCGGCGTTTTAATGAACAGAAGCGCGGGAGTTTCGCGCGTCGTTTGGTTAATTGTCATCGCCAGGTAACACGCGAATCCCGGACGGAAGGAGCGGATGTGTATTTCGCGCGCTTTCACGAGGATCGTTTCTCGCGCGTGAGCGGAGTGTGTCGCCTCGATTGAACGCTAATTAAACGTGCACTGCCTGTTAAGGAAACACCATTCCAACAGGTTGCTCACGCGTTGACTCCCCTGCACGGAAATCACTAATCGTCACGAGAGCGCAGCTAGTGATAATAATAATAATCGATTCTCTTTTTTTTCCTTTCCTCTTTTAAGTGGCAAAAAAGCGCGAGAAACAGCCGATTAGCAAGGGAAAAGGAAGGGCGCTTCTTTCGCACAGAGCCGTCCGACGATGGAATCGAATTTCGTTTGGTCGTCCTTTTTTTTTTCTCACAACTTACGAGCAAGTTTGCCAATATATACGTCAAGATGCGTGTCATCTTGTCGCTAGAAGGAAACCGAAATTCTTACCGTCCTCGTTAGTGTCGTCCTGCAACAACCATATCTCCTCCTCGTCGAAGTGTGCGTCCCCGCCGCGGTCCTTGCCCGGGAAGAACGCGTGCGCCAGGATCTGACCTCTGCCATCGAATGGATATCCATCTCCGTGATAACCCCTGAATAATGCGCAGAATTATGCGGCGCGAAACAAAATTACTGACCACCGCCGAAATTGCCGTTCTGTCGGCGATTTGCATTCTCCACGCGACCAGCTCTGGCGGAATTATGTCACGGAATTTTCACGCGGAATTACGTCACGTTACACGCGTTGTTAATGTCGTCGTATATATGGGATTGCCACGCGGTGAAAATAATCTCTGCGAGCTACGCTGGCTATACGTGGCTGCTGTGGCTATACGTGGCTTTCTCGCGAAATTTCCCTTTGCGCGCAAAGCTTATTCTCGAACGCGATCTTTTGTATGACACTCTCGTTAATTTCCCGCTCTTTCCAATCGCCGCCAAAACTTTCGTATCAAATTGGGATATATACGAGGTGTCCCGAAATTAGACCGACAAACTTCGGGTGCTTATAAAACGCGAAACAAGGAATTTTTGTCAATAATCCCACGAGCCGTTTTGGAGTGAACTGTTTACAACAGTTGTTACAAGTGTTGGCCACACCCCGATAAATAAAACTCATATCGATGCAGTTCATCAAAAGAAAACATTTTGAAAATAAATTTCGAATAAACAATACGCTGCTGATACGGAACTCGCGACAACAAACTAATTGTTTGTAAATTCTCAATAATTTTCAGTTAAAGTTCATTCGCAATAAAGCATTTTTTTAATATTCTGTATTAAGAGATAATAATAAGAACTAGGACCAGGAAAAAATCACTGATATTCCTGTATTGAAATAAATACTTTTGCTAAATAATTCACCCTAGTGTCAAAAAAAAGATTTGTTTTGTTGCCCTTTATAAGCATCCGAAGTTTGTCGGTCTAATTTCGAGACACTCTGTTTTCCGGCGAAAGATTGTTTAAGGATTGTTTAAGATTGATTCGTTGCGGGAGGAATAAATAGGATAATGCGTGGAAATAGAAATCGACTTATTCGTAAACCAGCATCGAAACTCACCGACGGAAGTAGATCAAAATGTCAGCGTGGTCGCTGTTAATCTCCCGGAAGGTCAGCCTGGAATTCCTGGCCCAGAGGTCGAGGGCCTTGCTCAGCTCCAGTCGGACTCCGCCTGTATCCAGGCCACTGGGCTGCTCGGATCTCAGGCTATAACAGAAACGTCGATTACGTGAGACCCGATTAATCCGGAGGACATAAACAGGGAATATTTGCGCAACGCTCCACCAAGACGATCCGCGTCGGATTCGATAAAGGCTAAGTAAACCCGCTGATCGATTGTGCTCAAGTATTTGCCAATTATCAATTACCCGAGAACACGTGGTCGTTACCTCGGCGAGACCTCAAGATTAGCCAGCTCGCGAAAAATCGTTCTTTTTTTTTGCAAAAAGGAAAAAAAAACATGAAGAAAACAAAGAAAAGAAATCGAGTACAGCAAAAGCGAATGTCGCTCTTAGGAGTTTAGAAATCTCCAGCCATTATTTATTCAGCGTCGCAATTTTCGCGTTTAAGCGCGAAGCTCGGAGTTTCTTTCGCGAAACTCCGTAATTGTGTGCCGCGCTCGCAAGAAACCTACCGTCTCGCCTGGTCCGTTCTGCTTTGGTCTCGTCCTACTCGGCGAACAGCGGCGTGACTTATTATTTACACGAGGTCGAAAGTAAAACAACCGCAAGTCTCGCCGCGAGCGCTCACGAGTTCGGAGCGCGAAGGACATGAGGAATTTCCAACTCGAGACGGATCATCTCTTCGTCGTTCTGATACGCCTAGGTATGCGAAACAGCACTTTCGTGCAGTCGACGGCATAATTTAATGAGAAGTATCTCCTTCCGAAGCGGCGGAATTCGCGATGTTTTGCAATTTTCACCCGTTCCCCTGTCACGCGATTTTTCATCGCGTTTAATATCAATATCGCAGAGAGAGAGAGAGAGAGGAGAGAGAGATTCACTATTACGAATGCGAGCGCAACACTACGCCGTGTGTCGATAAACAAACGAGAGACGGTTGCGCATCAACTTCCGCGTTCGACTTTTGATGAAGCGAATTCGATTCGCGTCAGTACGCGCGATTTACGTCAACATACAGCCTAGGTCCGATGATTTGCATTATTAACAGGCCAGCCCGCAATCTCGGAAATGGCAATCTCGGGCCCCGGCATCGATGATGATTACGCGTATCGCGCATCACCGCATCACTCGTTCGTGTTTACGCGTGCCTGTTTTATTAAAACGATCTCTCGTACCGCTTAATTAGGTAAATTTGCTGCGGCCGATTCGATGCTGATCGATACCGCGGAACTTTGCCGTCGGACAAATCAGACCGCGCGATTTCGTGAAATTTGCGGATAATCTCTTGCACAATAAAAATTAAAATGTTAATTCTAACATTATTCGTATGTACCAAAAGATCCATTCTAAATTTTGTGTTAAAATAACATATTTGCTACATCTTAACGCACAGAAAATATTAAGTATTTAACACGTTTTCTTCTACATTTATATACGTTATTTCAACTTAAAGTACAATATTAGACTAACACAAAGAATAGTTAGAAAATGCGCGAAGGAGTAGTTATTGTAAAAAATGGAACATATATATGATGTGAATAAAATAAATGTTACATTTTGATATAATTCTGAAAAACACATTTTTCATATTAACACCTGAAATTAATTACTGAAATTATTCGTAATAGAAACATTTGGTTTTACTCAATTTGATTATTTCTTATGTCAAAGTTTGAAGACTCATTTTAACTTATGTTAACCCTTTGCACTCCGCTGTCGCCGTAGCGGCGACATGGTTGTTTTGCTGCCTCGGCACTTTAAGAAATTTTAAGTCCTAAAATTTATGTTTTTCTTTTATAATATAAGTTAGAATATGTTTTGTTATAAAATAGCTAAGAAATAAAAATTTTGTTTTATTGAAACGACTCTATTTTTCTTCTACATCATAGGTATGTACTTGGAACTAATAGCCTCTATGCATTACTAGGCTGGAGTGCAAAGGGTTAAAATAACTCAAAATAATGTTTCATTTTTAAATGACACACAAAAAACTAAATTGACATAAATTTAACGCATGAAAACATCACGAAAATAATAACACGTGTCAATTTGAGACATTAGTCGAAAGTCGGTGACACAAAAAAATGTTAACATTTTTTACACCTTTATATTACTTTTCCTCTTGTGTGTCTCTCTCTATATTTTTATCATATTTTTTTTGCATTCATATATTCATGTTCTTACTCTTGGGAATATTTAATAAACGCTGTTACCCACCTGTCTATTCTAGTGTGGAAAATTTTGCGGCACAGATTTATCTTGTCGTTTAGGGGAAAAGGCGGGAAAAAGAGGGCCACGCATCTGCCGTCGCTTTTCGAATAAATTTGCGCATCCGAGGAAGATATTTTACCGAGTGCTTGTCCCACGTAATTGCAACGTCGTTCGCGCATTATCAAAAGACGATCGATTGAAATTTGCGCTAGAGATGCGAATATATAATGCGCGATATACGCGAGATAGGTAGCCCTCCTCTGCGAAAGGATATTATTTCTCGATGTAAATTTCCTATCGATCGCCTCGCGCGTAAAGTCCGTCGTCGAGCGATCGCTCCTCTTTTCGCGGGGGAATTGTCTTTTCATAGGATAACACGTCTTCGTGATACAGCGGAGTAACGGAAGAGTTCGCAAAAAGGGGAAACTTGGCTAAAACTGAGCAGAAATAATTGTTCGAGCAAACTCGAAGGGAAGAAGAGGTAAACGGGAAAACTCCTTGAAATTGTCCAAGTCACGTTACCTCGTGAATTTTTCACAAATGTAATATTTATAATCGAAATATTTATTTTCACCGAGTGATAATATCTCCGATGAGAAATTAATTTCATCGTGTCGTGTCGGTCATCTCGGGAAAAATGAGGTGCGTAAATATTTTATCTTCGCTCGCTCTCGTCGTATATTTCCACTAACGGAATGCAATTCATCACGTGTGTAACACTGCTAGTTACACAACTGCAGAAAGGCGTCGTGTTACGATAATAGATATGAAATTAATAAAAAGAAAAGAATTGCGGGCCGAATGTGATGGATAAATGTAGGAAAAGAAATCGACCGGACAGTTTGGCGGAGATTAATAGGTGTCCAGACAAATAGGTGAATTGATAGTCACGGCTCACCAATCGTTTACTTGAAACGAACGGAGTCGCCTTTATTTGTCCAAACGGTTGTCTCCTTAACGACCACGAGACATGTCGCATTGATCTAAAACAATCAACGATAACATTCTCGTTTTTACACACATGAGTAATAAAAATCACGTTAAAAGGGGCGAATAAATTTTGCAATTGTTGCGAAATTTCGTAATTAAATTCCGCGATGCAAATTATCGCGTTGTGCTTAACGGTTAACAGAACAGTTTATCGATGTGTCTATAATCCATCTACAATACACCCGCATGTAGAGGAGTGATTTGCCGCAAGTAACTTCGTCTCTCTCTCTCTCTCTCTCTCTCTCCCTCTTTACATATATATATGCATGTGTTCCCGGCGTATTTCATTTCGCATATATCCTTCTTTGCTGTTAATATCACGCCTTTAATATCGTCATATTCGTTACGTGGCCAATCGGTAATGAACATCGGATCGTTATCGCATAAATATTCGCGCGTCGGTAGCACGCATGGTGTACATTTTCAAGCGTTTACTTTATAAATGGGCCGAGCGAAGGGATTCGACTGAATTATCGTGGCGCAGCGGATTATCCTGAAAAATTGATCTGATGATTCTCCGTGTAACCGTCAAATTTTCACTGTTCGATGCCGATCCGGCGCTTGTTTGGAATAAAAAAAGTGGCTTCCGCTCCGTTTTAAAGACTTGAAAGGAGGAGTTCCAAGCGCACAATCAGGTGCTCGACACCCCCCGGAATCATTTTTTATCCTTCCCTGTTTAGCGCCTCTTCAACGTCCATTTCCGCGCGTGCTCATAATTTCGTTCGTTATTGGGCCGCGGTTGTAATATCTTCCGAGGACTTTGAAAAAACGCAACAAATTGCGCACACACGGGAGCGATGCGACAATAAGCCGAAGCAACGCGAATTTCGGCTGTAGCGCGACGCCCGTGTACACAAGCAAGATGGGACTTGAAATATATAAAGCGGAAATAAAACGAAAGAATAAACGAATTTGACGAAAAATTCGATACTCCCGAGCGAATCTGGTAAATAGGTGCGAAAATCGCGCGAGAGATCCTTCGTGCGACTTCGTCGGAGGATTGCGCGAGAAACTTTGAAGATTCGGTCGTTTAAAGAGATTACTTGTTATCGCGAATGATCCACGCGAATGGGCGCACAGATGAAATTACGGGACGATCCTCGTCGCGAGAATTATTTCGGGAGTGCCGCTTATAGAAACGCGCGGCACAATAAGAACGAAACAAATGAGTGGAACAATAGATCTCATGGTGAGGACATCCGCGCCGGGCGAAAATTCGTTCCGTTATAATGTTTAAATTAAGCATCGACACGGGAACGAGCGAGGAAAAAGGACGACAATAGCCTGGACGCAAGCGCGATAAATGACACTTTTCCTTTTGCCGCAATAATCCGGCGAGTGAATTAATTAGTTAGCGAGATGTCGATTTCTTCTTCCTTTTTTTTTCACGCCGACTTACCCCATTTCCTTCTAATGTAACTAGCGAAACTTTTTCAATTGAATATAGCACCGACATTAGCACACCCGTGCCATAGTAAAATAAGCCGTACACGGCAATATCCGCGCATAGCAAGCAGCTAATCGTTGTGCGAGAAGTACTTCTTGTAAACCCAACGTGAAAGGATTACGGTATTAAGCGAAAAATATTAAACGAGAGGCGCTGCTAAGCAGGATACTGCATCACGCGAGATTAACGGCAATACATTTTTCGCAGGCGAGCTAACGCGAACGAGCGAGCGAAAAAAATGTTTCACCCACGACGGCGTTAAAGGGAATATGAAAAAAGTAAAGAAGCGCTAACTAGGCGAAATCAAAAGAGGGGCGGCGCGATGGGACAAAAATAACGGGTAATTAGCGTCAAATCAACACTTGCAATTTCTCTTTTCGGCCATCGATCGAACACACGCATCGATGCGCCGCTAATTAACGGGAGTGCGTGTGTGG